ATTAAAATTTATATAGTAAATTAAAAATATCAATTATTTAATTTAATTAATAGTTTTTAATCAAATACTAACTATTCATTATAAAATAATTTGTTTACTAACACATGCCCTTAAAGTAATGATCCAATCTAACATGAAAAACACCTCTTTTTTATCCGCTGATTTGTCTTTATTTGTATAGACTCGACCATAAGAGCCGACTATTTTGCCAACATTTACTGTGCTACCATCTTTTCGCGTTTCATTTCTAGCATTCCAAGTAATCCATGCCACTGCAAACCATATAGGTTCCCAACCTATCTGTATTTTCCCATCGAGTCCCTCGTGTTGCTCATAAGCTTCCCACACGGCGCTTGCTGCAGCAGCGCACACATCATACCATTTATAGCAGTTTGGCCTAACCTGTGAAGCTATTTTACAGTGCAGAGAAACAGATGGTTGCTATCCTCAACATTGTCCTCAGAAAGAGTGCACACCGCCTCAATTGAGTCCTTAATTATCCCTCTTTTAAGTAAATTGGACTTGCTTAGCAATTGGTCCAAAATTAATTGCCAAACAAATTCACAGAGTTTCTGAGGGATGATTTGATTCCATACCCTTTCAAACAGCCTCCTGCGAGGCGAGTTCGCATTAACCACCAATCTTAAGTAGCCGGAGCATGGCGAATACCTTCCGTTGGTATTGAACTTCCACAACCAAGTGTCCTTGTCTCAGCATTATTTGTTCCAAATATGTGTTCAATTGTCTGCAGTGAATCTTGTTCACGTCTCCGCTGTAAATTCCACTTCCATGCCCCATTGTCCCAAGTTTCCATTTGCTTCACCATATTTTCTTTACTTGCAGAGTTTAAATACGACTTTGAAAATTTGTTACCTGCAGAGTTTAAATACAACTTTGAAAATTTGTTAGCTAACTCCCCTGACTACATATATTATCACCATATTCTTGAGTCTTGCGATTTTAAAATACGGGAGAATGGTTGTTGATCTATATATTCAACATCGTCTTGTGTTTGAAAATTTGTTAGCTAACTCCCCTGACTACATATATTTTCACTATATTCTTTAGTCTTGCGATTCTAGAATACGGTAGAATGGGTGTTCATCTATATATTCAACGTCTGTCTTGTGTTTCTGTCAATGTGGCATTTGTTTAAAGGTATCACATACAGCTCCTCTTTTAAGACTCAACGTCTTATTGAAGTTTGTCCCATTACTGCTCAATAGGACACGCAAAATGCTTTTAATATCAACCAACAGAGAAAAAGAATAAATAAACATGTCAATTTTAGATTTTTTTTAATTTAAAAATGTTAATTTTATTAGTTTTT